ATATTGCAGCTTTGCTATTACCATAACTTTTCTATTATATAAATCTAATTTTATCATAAAATTAAAGACATTTTCTTACTTATGCTAGTTACACTTCTGCTAAAATGTTCTATATTGTGTAAACATTATCTTCTAACTTTATATCTTTGTACATTATCATTATCTCTTTTGTATAACTTTGTTCTTTTACTTATTATTGTACATCTGTTTTATATTCTTGATCATTTTAGGTTTTTTTTCTTCTTTGTACTTTATTTTTTTATTATCTGTCTTAGACTTTTTATTTATCTTCATATTGCTGACTATATTCTTTAGCTAATCATTTTTTTTATTTACTTTTTTTTTTTTTTTTTTGTTTTTACTAAACTTTTTTCTGTTTGCTTTTCTAGTATACTATAATTGATATAACCACATTCTTGTTCTAGTAACATTTCTTTATTCATTTTGTCTTCTTTTAATTGCTTATGACTATTTTTTTTGATTTCTTACTGTCTTTTACTCATATATATTCACAGTAATTATATACTTCTATTAAGTTTCTAAAAATATAAACTAAAACTGCCTTAGTGCTAACAAGTTTAGCCAATTTCTCATCTTTTTTTAAAACTCTTGATTTGTGATTATCTTATATTTCTTTTTATATTTTGTTAGATTTATTAAACATATCATGATACTTTTCTAATTTTTTATACTAATTGATTTCTATAAATACTAGTTGAACTTTTTGTATCATATTTCTTTGCATTATTTTTATACTTTTACTAAATAAATTTAACACATAATTCCCTATTTATATCTATATTTATTTGTTTATCTGCAAGATTACATATCTGTTTATTTGTTTTGTTGTATTTATTGTTTACTCTAACTTGTTTTATGTATTATATATATAATCTGCAATACAAAGATTTTGTGTTTTTTTTTTTTTTGTTGAAAATTTTTAACAAAGAAAGAAATTTATTCTAAAAGTCAAAAGTGACTACTATATTGCTATTAATTTAGTCTATTATTCTAACAAATTATATCTAATTTTCTACTAACTTTAACTTTACTTAGTTAATAACTGTACTTTTATTTACTAGTTTTTGTGATTTTTACAATTTTCTTTCTGCTCTGATTTTGGTCATAAGGATCAGTGAAAAAAGGCTTAAATTTTATATTTTTAACTTTTAATTTTTCTTAGTTCTATATATTTATATAGATATAAGAACTTATTTTAAATTTTATTGTCTAGTACTAGTTTGTATTTTTCTATATAATCAAAATTACACAAATTTCCTATAATCTATTAGTTATACTAATATAATTATAGTTATAGATATTTTATTTTAACTAATTGACAAAAATATTGATATTATAATACTATCTATATATTATATAAATAATTATCTAAATTTTTACTATTTATGAGTTTTGAACTTATAATCTACTACTTGAAAGATTGACAACTTATCTACTTTACTAATTATTACATATTTTTATTAATATATTAAATACACAAAATCTTTTATAAATAATGTTAAAGAACTTTGTAAATATTTTAAACTTAAAGCTATTTATAAAGTAACACAAATATGAATTAAAATTATAAAAGAGTTTTGTTTAAAGTAAGATATAAAAAAAAGATTAAAAAGATAATTCTAAAACAATATTAGAAAACTAACCCTTCAAGTTTATATATACAAAAAAAAAATTGATGAAAATATTATACTAATTTTATAAAAAGCTATTTAGCAACATCTCAATATGTATTCAGTTATAAAAAAATCTGTAGATATATTTAATCTAAAAGTATACTTTAAACTAAACCAAATAATTAATAAAAAATTGAAAATTCTTTTTGAAAAAGGCTTGAGTAATGTTTCAGAACCAATGACTTGATATTAAATAAGATTAAGTAAATCTTAAACTACTCTAAAATGTAATATAATATATCTGAAAACTTATTACAAAATATTTTTTTATAATATGTCATTGTTGACCTTATATAGAATTGAACATTATTTCCTTCAAATCAATAACTTTATTAAAAAATTTGATGATAAAATTGATATAAAGCTTTATAAATCTAAAACTAACCAACAAAAATCTGAAAATTATAATACACAAGCAGAAGTAAACAGTTTACCTAATATTAAAACCATCATTAATGATTATAAGTTTTATTTTGTCAAATGTTTAACAATGACAGTTACAAATTTTTATCCAATTTCCTTATCTTCAGACTCAGATAAAGTTTTTATTTTGTTATTTAAACAATCTTATGCTATAATTGTATATTTACTAACTTTTTTTTTACTAGTTAAATTTAATAAACAATGGTATTATGATCATGTCCTTAGTGAGCATAAATTAAAAGAATATTTTAAAGACATATATAAGATTACAAGCATTTAAATAAGAATCTGCAATATTTTGAATCACTTTAAAAGAAAAACTACTATGTAATTGTTGAGAGAACTTGGATACTTTGATTCAGTTGTAATGTCAACTATAAGTCACAAGTCTTAAAAGGGTCTTGTTATGTATGAATGCCCAAAATCTGTAATGCAGTATGAAGATTTAAGTGGATTTTTCAATATGCTAAAACAAGTTTCAAAAAGTATATTTATTGATAAAATTTTTAAAATATTACTAAATAAATTTTTTTTTATAAAGCTTTTAGTGATCATAAAAAAGATGTCCGTGAACCTGCCCACCCGCGGGTGACCCTACTAGGATCGGAACACTAATCGGTATGTTAATAATGTTATCATTGCGTAATGATTACAAAAATTACCTATTATACAAAATGAATACCTCTACGTAACTGATTTTTTTGACGAACACTCAATATACAAATCGAAGGAATAAACGTCAAGATGATGCGTATTTTAAAAGTTAAAGTTTAATACATTTGATTACGAATATCGTATAAATCGCTGGATCAAATAAATAAATAAATATATATATACATATATAAGAATTCTCTATATAAGATATAAATGTCTTTTGATAGAATAATATTTTACAAATTCCTACTTTCTATATAAGAGGTTTTGGTTAGCCCTAGTGATTTTTTATAATCATGAGTTCGCGTTTCTACTATAAACCTTCACCTTGTACTCCATCCTATTTTCCATTCTCACAATCTACTTTCTTTCTAAATTATTATTTTCTACTCTTAATAATTAAGTCACTTATTTTCTTCGTCTTGATTTCGCAAGTTGTGGCAATAAACCCGATAATAATCAAAGGAAATAAATTTTTTGATTCAATTACAAAACAACAATTTTTTATAAAAGGAGTAGCATATCAACCACGTGGACTAGGCGTAGAATATTCGGATCCATTGGCACAACCTGAAACTTGCAAACGTGATGTTGAGTTGATGAAAGAATTGGGCTTTAATGTCATTCGTGTTTATGAGGTAATATTTTATAAATAATACTTTTTTTTTGATATGGATTTTCATTAAAATTTTTTTATTATCAAAGGTTGATAACGATAAGGATCATGATTCATGTATGAATTACATGGCCAAAGCTGGTATATACCTCATTCTCGATCTAGCTACCATAAAATCTAATATAAATCGTGATAATCCACAATGGTCATTATCACTCTTTCAAAGTTACACTGCCACTGTTGATGCATTTAGCAAGTATCCAAACACATTGGCATTTTTTGCTGGTAATGAAGTCACGAATAATAAGTCTAATACAGAAGCAAGTCCATTTGTTAAGGCTGCGATAAGGGACGTTAAAGAATATATTAAGGTGAATACAAAAAAGAGCAATGGACGAGTTATACCAGTAGGATATTCCAGCAATGATGACCAAGCTGTTAGAATTCCATTGAAAGAATATTTTAATTGTGGAAATAAGAGTGAGCAGGTATGAATTCATGTTAAAAGTTTTTATTAATAAAATTTGTTAATTAATCTTTAAATGCTTTGTAGGCAGATTTTTACGGAGTAAATTTATATGAATGGTGCGGAGATAGCACTTTTGAAACATCTGGATATGCAGATAGGACCAGTGAATTCACCAATTATAACACTCCTGTTATCCTTTCCGAATATGGTTGCAATATAGTAACTCCTCGTAAATTCACTGAAGTTTCAACAATCTATGGTTCACAAATGACTTCAGTCTGGTCAGGCGGAATAGTTTATGAATGGTCTCAAGAAATTAATTCATATGGTCTTGTAGAAATTGATAAAGACGGTAATGTCAAAAAATTGCAGGATTTTATAAACCTTCAACAGCAATTTTCTAAAATAACCATTCCACCGAGTGACGCATTACTAATGGACTCTTACACACAAAAAAATGATGAATCTTCCAAGTGTCCTTCTCAATCAGAAAATTGGAAGGCGGCTACGAATCTACCACCAACTCCTATGAAAAATGTTTGTGAATGTATGGTCTCATCGCTTTCTTGTGTTGCGTCTTCAAATGTTGTGAATAATCAAAGATTGATTGACGAAAATTTTGGACTAATTTGCGGAATAGTCAAGTGTGATGATATTAATGTTGATATCAGTTTGGGTAAATATGGTAAATATTCGTACTGCAGCCCGAAAGATAAGTTATCTTATCAGTTTGATGTTTATTTTAAACATCAAAGGAGGAACCCTCTTGCATGTAATTTTAAAGGTGCTGCTACAATTGTTAAAAATGAAAATAATAAAGGGAATTGCGGAGGTAATAAAACTACTCATGGTAGTCCTAATATTCCAAGTAATAACACAGTTAACAGTGGTGAAGATAAAAAGAAAAGCGATGCGACGGCTTTAAAGAACTTTGGAAGCTTTATTATGGGAATAATGACGATTTTTGTTAGTTTCATTAATGTATATTGAAAAAATGTGTCATTTTTTCTTTTAATGTATTTGAAGTTGTAATTGGAGAGTTAATACATAATAATAATGTTAAAATTTTATTTATATATAAAAATACAGTATATGTGGTTATACTATTTACAGTCTAAAATACAACAAGAGTCTCCTAATAAAATTAGAATGGTTCTTCATCTTCAAATTCCTTCATACATATCAGGAAACCCTTCACTACCATCGTCGAAGTCGTCGTCGAAGTCATCGAAGTCGTCGAAGTCGTCGAAGTCGTCGATGTCGTCGAAGTCGTCGAAGTCGTCGAAGTCGTCATCATCGTATTGTCGTTTTTCCAGTTCTTCCTCACAACCTTTAATTTCATTGCGTTTTTTCAACTCGTGAATCTCATCGCCATATACCGCGCTTCGTCTTTCAAAACCGTATTCGTCAAATCCAAAATTACGTTCATTCAAATTATAACGCCTCTCAAATTTGTTATTACGTCTATTTATATTATAATTGTCAAAATGAGCGCGACGAGTTTTCGGATCATAATTACGTTCCAAGAAATTCGGATGATAAAGACAACTTGGTTCACAAGAACTTCCGTCTCCACGTTCCAAAATAGAATAACATCGTGAATACAGTTTATCTAGTGGTGCTGAATTGGTTATCAGAATTAGGCGGGCAACGATTAACAAGAATAGAGTAGGAAATTTGCAATTCATTAAAAATGACATTTTTTATCAATTAGGCTTCTGGAAAGAAAGGTAGAATTCAAAATTGTAAGCCTAATTGCCTAGGGAACGTTCTATTGAAATTTTTTTGCCGAATTCTTTAATGAACAATACTGCTTTGAAATGTAAGCTTTTTATATTTATTAGAATACTATGAACGTAATGTATCATATAATTATTTTCATTTCTTTCGTAAAATGTTTATAAGTAAATTACATTTAATTAATTTATATTTCATATATCATTTGAACTTAATCGATCACACGTTATACATGATCAACCATGGCGGGGTAAAATCGCCACCCAAAAAGTTAACTCCCCAGTGCGACCAACAAAAAATTTCGGACACGTGAGTGCTGTGGCTTGTTAGTATGGCTGATGTAAGAATTATTCTACGTACCGTATGTAGTAAAATTTAAATGGTTATACGTACGATACATATTTGGGATATCGCACTGCACAAAGTGTTCAATAAAATAAAGTTCGATGTACAGTATCAATCAAGTAAAAAAGCCATTAATTGCATTATTTTTTTTTGCTACATTTTGATACATTATAATAAAAAAACAATATTTATGAAAATTAATCTTTGCTAAAATATATTTCGATATAATATTGATTCAACAGAATTAATGGTTTTCTTCGATATTGTTCAATTCATCTGTTAACTTAATTAGTAGATCAAATGATTTTTTTTATCATTTTAATTCATTTTGTGTTGTTAGTTGATTTTTGATTTTTTAAAATTACAAATGTTTTTTTCAATCAAATTACCAAACATTATATTATAATTTTCAAGTAATTCTTCATTATTTTTGACTAATTCGATTAATTCATTAGTAAATTTGTTACTTTCAACTTGCTCAACAATTTATTTTTTCTTGAGTTCATGCTGATTAAAAAAGAAGGTTAATAGTTTTTTTTTTATATTAATTCATGATCCACATGGGAACCAATGAAAATACATAGTAAAAAATAATGAAATTTACTATTGTTTGGAATCTAGAGGTTCCCTAAAGACATGTCAGTTTTCTGCCAAGTAAACCTCTTTTGACTTCTAACAAAAGTTGTATAAAAAAGAATTCTGGTCATAATGGTGATTAAACCGTCAAAATTGGCTTAGTGTATTATGAGGTATGATTATTTTAGTCTTCACAACTATATATTTCTTCTTTATTTACAATAAAGAAGAAACATATAGTTGCGAAGATTAAAATACTTGTATCTCGTGATCTACTAAGTCAATTTTGATGGTTTAACCACCATTATAATCAGAATTCTTTTTTATACAACTTTTGTTAAAAGTCAAAGAGAGGTTTGTTTGGTATAAAATCAATTTGTACTTGAGAAAATGTCAGATTTCAAAAAAGACAAAAAATATATAGTAAACATATTTTTATGTTTTACTATGTATTTTTACTGGTTCTCATGCAAATCATAAATTAATAAAAATTCAATTGTTACATTTTTTTTTATATTGAATATTTACATAAATTAAATCAATTTATTAAATAATAAAAATAATTATTAATTACACAGAGAACCAAGATAATGACAGTCAGACCTAATGTACAGGACAGCCTATAGCACTCTTCGCAACTGTGAGAACCAAGCTTAAAATGATGAGTGACCTTACAGAAGATACACAACCCAAATCATTATTAACATCAGAAAATTTTTTAGATAGATACTAATCGATATATATCAAATAATCGATATTAATTGATTAGAATATAATGATATATATCG